GTGATGATGGTCATGGAAGAAAGGAACCCAGCTTTTGCTTTCTACTGCAGATTGCATTTATCCCGTTTGCAATTAGAGGGAAAAGAAATTTATCCCTCTATAAGATGATTATAATTGAAACAAATCTCATTCATCGGCCACACACTTCCAGGTACACTTCTCAGGGTRGACTTGCTTTAAACACAATTCCCTGTATTTCATATGGAGATTGGGAAGAGTTAAGGTCCCCTTAAAACAGACGCTACCAGCTGAGGTAAAAGTGAATCATAAAGTAAAAATACAGATGGAGATGTGCACTGATTTATGTGCTGAATGTCCCCAATATTCAATCYGGGAAAGTTATTCAGCAGAGAGATGAATGTTAACTATTTTAAAATCATCTTTATCTTCTGTGCCATGTCCTGACATACTTTAGGTATCTGATACCATCTCATCACAGATGTTGCATTGTTAAGAGGTGTTATGTGATGTCAGGATATTATTTAGGGTTTTGGGTTTTTTTTTTTTTTTTTTTTTTTTTTTTGTATATACAAAATGTATATACAAAACATTTTTGTCTTTTTTTTAATTAGTATTATTTTTCTTAATCAGAATGCATTCATTTGCATTTTTTGATTACTGCGATATGCCTGTAACGGGGATTTCATCTTTTAAAGAAATCTGCTGTATTGTGTTCATCATGTATTGTGTACATGCTTGCTAGTATAATAATGCCCAACTCCTATAAAGGGCTCTGTCATTTTTCTCCATTTATGGAAAGAAAAATGAARGCAGACAGAGGCGAAGTTCTGTTTTGAAAGTCATCTAGCAAGTGAGAGCCAGGAATGGGACATAAGTCCCATGCTCTATTTAAAGGCTTCACCACTATTATTGTAGGATAAAACAGCTCTCTGATTTTCACCAGTGTGTGTAGGAAATCACTGAAGGATAAGATCTAGAAGGAATTTGCACTGAAACGTTTCAAACCGCAGCACTGGTAAAAAGGGAAAAGGAATGGAAGTTTCCTAAGTTGTCGTGGAAATGGGGTAATTTTTACTTGTTTACACATGCTCTGCAGCAAACCAAGAGTAGTTAAATAGTAGTATTGCTAATTAACAATCCTTAGAAAAGAATAACAAACCAGTGCCCTCAGGTAATTTCTGAACTGAATTCTGCCTTTTTCATCATGCCTCCCCCTATCAGTTCTCAGTGTGCAGATTTTTTGTTGACAAGGCAAAAGCCAGTGATTTTGGCAGGTTACGCAGGGTCCCGGAATTGCAGCGTTTGTGGAATCTGCAATTTCCAAAGGAGGTGAGAATAAGCATAAGTAACTGGCTCCTGTAGCTACAGTGATCCTCAGGGAAATATTTGACCTTGAGGGTATGCAGTGGCAATCGGGGTGCTGTTACTACCCACAGAAATGACAGAGGGGACAGTGAAAACCTCCCCAGTCTATTGCTTGAAGCGCTCTACATGCTTAAAAGAGCAGCAGAGCAGCAGCTACACATGCGTATGTTAAAAACCCTTCCCTGATGATTTTAAGGGTTGGATGGCAAAGTGGAGGGGATTGAAATTTCAATTTCTCCTGCCAAATTGCAGCCCCATGTTAAGGGAGCTCTTGAAACTGAGACTCCGTCWAGAGCCGTCCGGGCTCCTCGCTGCCGGCCGTGATTTCTGCAAGGGGGTCACGGCTGCTCCTCTCGCAGGACACAGCCCACTGAGCCGCATGCGAATCAATCGCTGAACCRCCACAACGTGCCGTGCTGCATTTTAAAATAAGCCCTCATTGATTTCAGCTTGCGGTGAGATCTTGCTCCACGGTTAACTTTAAGAAATGGCAACTTCTCAGCACCCTCAGCTCTTCTGAGCCAGGACCCTTCGTCAAAAGAGAACGGGTGGAACGGCAGACGAGCCTGCAGAAAGTTTCAGTTCCTTGATCTTGGAGTTAATGGTGTTTAGAAAGGCTACACGGATGCAGCACTTTTCCTTTTTTCCCCTCCTCTGTCTTCTTTGCAGTGGACCGCAAGCATCCCTTCTTCTCACTTTTTTTTTTCCAAAAAGAAATATGTTGCAGCCACAGAAATATTGATTCATAAATAATTTCATAGATCTTATAATTCATAGATGCAAAGCCAAAAGGGACTATTGCGACCATTCTGTGTGACTGCTGCCTCCCTTGTGCCTATTGCTGAAGTTTTTTGATGTCTTTTTGCAGCAACTGTCTTTACTGCTGATACACACATTCTCTACACTTTATTTTCCACTTATGCAGAGGATAGCAATATTACCCAGAAAGAAATCGCCCTGACCTACAACAAATCTGTCTTCTTAAAAGTTTTAATAATAGGATGCAGGATGCTATCAAAATGAATTGGATTGGCTCCAGTTTGGTTGAATTCCAGGAGAAAACACTCTATTTATCTAAAATCAGACAGATAAAGCACTGGGGTGAGTGCATGGAAGAGAATATTCCACTCTTATAAATGCTATTTCCAGAAGCACAACAAGCAGAAAAAAAAATATAATGAACTATTTCTTGATGAAATTCTTCGTGTTCCTCAATCCACTATTTTATTTAGTTTATCTAAAGAATTGGTTGCAGATACAGGCAGGATAAATCCCACTCTCTTATCTCATAAAGGGAGCCAGGTTTTAAAGATTATAATAATTAGAAATGCAGACAAATTTGCAAATTTGCCCCCATACAGTGTAATATACTCATAGCAGAGTCAAAAGGTTGACTCTCCTCTTTACCATTTCTTTAATTTCTCCCCAAATTCCCTGTCTTAATGCCTACCTGTCCCTTCCCCTCGGGGAACTGTTCGCACCTGCGGCAGCTCTGCTRTGAATGAGTCACTGATAAGACAGACTATTAAAACCTGTGTGCAGCATTAATTCATTGTGTTGCCCCTRCTGCAGAGCTAAAAAGGGGGACAAAAAGATGTAAAACTGCTTTCTTTTTGTGGTTAAACAGGCTACAAACTTCTGGATTGCAGTAAATCTCCAAATTCAACAGCATTTTGGTAGGTACTCTGGGACCTGATGGTGCAAAAGCCTTTTCTCAGTCTCTTGTTCAACCAGCAAATTTCTTGCAGGGTTGTTAATTGCTCTTACAACTAGAGGTAGGAGGAAGAGAAAGTTAAGCCAAATCCGTTCACCTTTCTTATTTCTTGACCAGGTGGGTGCTTAAAAGAACAAGTAACTTGTTCAATGCTGGTAAAGGTAATATTTAAATTTCTGTAGAAGGGTCACAGAGAGGATAGAAGCATGAGTGCTAAGTTTAAAATATGGGAAGAAGATCCTTAATGGAGGGAAAGCTATGAGGTGTTGCAGACCTCGYTTTTTGGGTCTTGCTTACAGAGAGTGTTCCTGCAGGAGGTTGTATCTTTTTGGGTAGGCTTAAATCTGTTTTGAGTAAGAACTTAAAATGGGACAGCACTTGGGTTGCATGTGGTAGGGCACTCAAACTTCCCTTTGGAGATGCGATTAAGAGGTTGCTGGAGATTTTTAGTCACCAATGCACTACTGCTGAGTCCAAGACTGAGGTCTTTTGGTGGAGCCTACAGCTTCTCTGCAACGGTGTGATTTAAGTAATAACCAACAGTTTTAATCCTTTTTTTGAGGCAAATATGAGATGTTTGTCTTGATACAGTTGTCTTGCAGGGGTTTGGGCACTCCYATGTCCATATGCAGCGAGAGGTGGATGGGGCACCCCCAAACCCAGCGGTGAGCTGGGGAGCACTGCTGTGTTGGACACAGCAGCCCAGGAGCCTTCCAGCACAACCGGTTGATACGGATGTTCCCGGGGTGTCGGGAGGAGGACTGAGGCGCCTCATGGCCGCGGCGCGGGGGCAACGGGCGCTCCCAACATGGCGGCCACTCCCGCCCTGCCGAGGGCGCCCGCCGGCGCCCCGCGCCCGCCGCGGTGAAGGCGGCGGCCATGGGGGCGGTCCCGCCGCAGCTCCCTCCTTCCCTCGCCGCCGGGGGCCGGGCCGG